CCCATTAACAGCCTCAGAGATAAGACTCCAAGACACATCTCAATTTTTAATATTTATCCAAGTAATCTGGGGCTCTACTCCAGAGAACAGAGGGTCTAAAAGGAGGTTTGGGAAAGACATTATCTTGGTGATTACAAGAAAGGGCTGAGGATCAAGGTTCCTAAGTCTTCACTCTATTTATAAACTGAAGTGAATCTATGATTCCTCTATGATTATCTATGACGCAGCTATGATTCTGTTTACTTTTGTCCTACACCATTCCCAAGACCTTAGACCACAGAGGGGAAGAAATATCCACATCCCCGTATAGTTTCTGGTGGTGCTTTTGCCTCTGATGCTGAGAGGGGTCATGAGCTTCTCCCCTGCTTGTGGTGCCCAAGGGCAGGGACCTCCTCTCAGGTAGGTCCCCAATCCTGCCGAGTACCAGGCCTTTGTGTGGGAGTGCCCTGGCGCTAAGTCCCCTCTTACCCTGACTGAACTCAGAGTGAATTTACACCCAAGCCAAACGTACTGGCGTGCAGAGGGAGCAGTGGGCTCTTAAGCCTCCACCCCCTTCCTAATCCAACTACTCCTCTCTGAACACAACAGAACGTGAATCACCCTCACACCTTTAGCGACCACTTGGTTACTGCCGACAAACAGCGAAAAGGGAGAGCCAGGAATTGGGGCCACAGGTGACACGTGCAGGCCCCCTCCCTCCCCGGGCAGCCGCCGGTTACCCAACTGGCAGAGGGCACAAGGTTGAGGCACCAGCCAAGCAGGAACACCTCAAGGAGATGTTTATTGAAAGCATTTGAGTGTTTAAAAAAACCTAAGTAATATTTGTAAGAAAAATCAGAACTTTGTTGAACTTGTTACACTTATTTTACAGGATAGTGTTGAAACGTTTTTGAGGGGAGGGTGAACTCTCTTTTCCAGGCTTAGTGATTCCAACCCTGCCTGCAGGGGCAGATGGAACTTCCTGGACAGACACACTCCACCCCCAGCCTCCGGTTACAGTTACACGGAGGAGCAGAGACCCCGTGATGCCAAGGGAGGGGAAGGAGGGTGCCTTCCCCCAAAGCACCACAAAAACATCATACCTTGGCTGAAAAAAGAGGTTCTACACTCAGGGCCTGCAGGCTCGATTTAGCCAAAAGATGCAGGGATGCATTTTGTTTGGGTTTTTTTTTTAAATGCTTTAAGATTTGAAATTTTTCACATCAAAATCCACTTTCCGATTTTTTAAAACAATGGAATATCAGTGCTAAACTCCAGGTGCTACTTGGCAAAAACTGTCTGAGTGTGAGGGACATACTTTCTCAGTCAGAGATGCCACCACTCCCTCTTGGACTCACATGGCCCGCTTCGCTCATCTGTGAAAACTGCCTGGCCCCTATAGGAAGGTATTTGAGAATAAGACCCTTTAAAACTGTGACCCCCTTTAAATTGCAGGATTTATTGCAACAAAAGAAACCCCTGAAGGCTTTGACAGTCTTATTTTCAGGTCACCACAAATGAAAGTCCTGACAGCTGCTTTTCTGTGGGGAAAGCTCCAGAGCTTGGGAGCCCCAGGTTCTGACAGGGGTGGATGGATACAGTTGCTAACCACCACAAGAGGAAAGAAAACTTAGCCTGGGATTGGAGGCAAAATATAAATTCAGAATTTCACAGTGGGGCGTTCAGCAGCAGCATGCCTGACTCGCTTGCCCTCCAGGGCTCTGTCATGGCTCCTCTCTCTTCCAGCCTGGCTGCAGTGAGCCACGGGCAGCCTTTTTCAGGAGCTTGGTTTGCTGGGGCTAAAACAATTTTTGGCAACTGACACAGGACACCCTGCCCACGATGTTTAAGAAAAGCCAAATATGTTGGACCACCTGGTTGAACTTATAGAAATATCTCCATGCTGCCAGGCCACTGGGCACCCCAGGCAGAAGGTTCAGTCCACGCTGTGCAACTCCCACCCAGGAAGAGTGCACAAGGTGCCTGCAATCACATCAGGCCTTGATGGCACTCCTTTTCCCACAGGGAGCGGGCGGGCATCCCCGGGCCATCCTTGCTTTCCCTATGGCTGCATCCTGTGCAGCTTCAAGGTTAACTTATTCATTCTTTTGCCTTTTGCATTTAAAAAAAAAAAAAAAAAAGGGAATTCCCGGGCAGTCCAGTGGTTAGGACTCCAAGCTTTCACTGCCAGGCCCCGGGTTCGACGATCCCTGGTCCAGGAACTAAGATCCCGCAAGCCGCATGGTGTGGCCCAAAACAAACCAAATAAAGCAAATGACATTAAAAGGCTTTAACATCTTTAAAATGGTCAAGATTAGCTAAAATGCTTGACAATGAGGTAGGGAGAACTCTAAGTGTGCAAAGGTCTTTCTAAACCAACAATCAGTTTTGCTGTCTTCTGCTCCATCTGTTTTCTGATTTCCAAGTATGTTCTCTACCACCCAAGTTGTAATGTTTGTTGATTTAAACCATATAGAGCATATGATAGAGGGAAAATTTGTTGGATCACGTTATTCAAAACTGTCTCCCAGGTTGCAGAAAAACAAAAGGGACCTCCCTGGGAATCCCCACCACAGGGACAGGTCATCAAGGCTCAGCACCTCCCAAAATTTCCAAAGCGCCATGATAAATCAGGGAATGCCTGGACCTGACTCTTACCACTAGGTGTCACACTAAACAATCAGGAATAAACACCACCAATTGCCCAAGGCCTTCAACTGCAGAAAGCCATCACAGCAGGTGCAAAGAAAACTTATTCCTGAGATACTTTTGACTTAGGCATGATTTTTTTTTCAATGATCATTTTTAAACCTGCAGCTAATAATTGTCTTCTAAGGTACCCTTTGTAAGTGGGAATTCAGAGTTTGATATTTCTGTACCTTTTTTATAGGTGTGAATATCCCCAGATGGGGGAACATCTACCCTCTATTTTACCTAACAACTGGAGTAGAAAATACTTTGCATATCTTCCAAATTACAGTGTATTCAGTCTTATTTTCACAAGGTGTTTTCAAAAGTGTTAATACCATGACTGCTTTGGCCAAATGATTACTATGTTGGGATAGAAATTAGATAAACTACCATGGGATGCCTAGGTAAATTTCTCTGCATTTCAGTTTCTTTTTAGGAAAGTAGGAACAATAGTTCTTACTTACAGGATTAGTTCTGAGAACTAACAATGTGTTGCAGAAAGTGTTGGAGCCCTTCAAAAATTTATACTGTGATATTTCTAAGAGACATGGTCACCCTTAGCAAAGTTACACAAGCATTTGTGGTCAAGTAATACAATTTTTAATCTGGGGAAAAAATCTAAACAGCATTAAATCCAATCTTGTTATTATAAAAGCAGGTATCCCATAGCAAAGGTAGCTACTCTCTCCAACTAATACGCAATTAGAGGTAGAGCTGGGAATTGAGATCTCCTACTTAGAGTTCTTGTTCCGCCTTGCCTAATAATTATGTATTTGTATATCACATGCCTGCAGAGACATACGGTGTCTATCCCTGGGAAGTTTTCATTTTAGTATGTGACCATTACTACCCTGAAGGTTTATTTCTCGATTTTACTTTTTTTTCCCTCATATTTTGTCTCTCACCCCCATTGGCCCAGACTTCCTACATTCGGATATTGAGGGTAGGGGAGTGGGGAAAGGGGAGATGAGGAGAGGTGAAGGGTTGGTTAGTACAGGGCCAGTCAAGTTGAAGATGATTGCAATAATCACCAGAAATCTCTGCAAAACTATAGAGGCTTCCTAGGGCACATTCTGAAGAACTCTGACCCAAGTTGCTTTATTTTGCCTGGACCAGTTCTAGAAACAGATGAATGCATTCCTCTCATTGGCTAGGAGATGGGGGTGGGGCAGAGAGCATAAGTTCTATGCCTTGAGCTCCTGCAGTATGCCTGGCAGTTACTTTCTTAGCCAACCTTAAGGCCCAATCTTGGATAAGGCACTACTCAACCCATTCTTCAGCCACCTTCTCCAAATGCTTCTGGAAAGTCACCCAGCTGGGCACCCAGAAGTAGGTTAAAGATCTGTTCTCTGCAGCAGCACAGTGCAAATCAGGGGAAATGACCTCAATAATTATTTTTGTTATTGCAAGGTGTCTACAACTCTACTACAAAGATTAACACCTTGCTTTCCTTGAAAAATATTGTCATATTCAGCATTTTCCCCGCATACAGGGCAGAGTGCTTGCCCCTCCCCCAGTCAGCAGGATTGTTAATCTCGAGGAAATGATTTGAGGGTTCTCCAAGCATTTAGGTTTTCAACGCCAAAACTTTCACAACTTCTACCTGAGTGGGGGGCTGGGGGCTACACGTCCCTGCACTGCCAAGAGCCTGGTATTGGCAGGAACGCAGAGGCAGCCGCCAGTGCGTCCTTCCTGCAGAGACGTCTGGGGAAGTGAATCCCTATACCCAGCCAACATTTCCACTCGCGTCTTCAAAAGATCAAAGAAAACATTTTTTAAAAACCGGCAAAGACCTGCAGGTCTGCAAACCCCAATGGAGAACCGCCCTGCAGGCCTGCGTCCTTGGGATCTCAGGAGCAGACGACCCCAAATCAAATCGATCATGGGAAACCCCAGGGAAAGAAGGTTTCTTGCAGAGGATCAGGATTACTGAGTGCAGGCTGCAGGGAAGTACCGGGGGAGGGGGCCCGGTCGGGAGGACTTTCCAGCCACTCCGCGTTCACCAAAAAGTTCCCTGTACATGACCCCAGTGGCTCATCGCAGGGAGTTTCTCTGATGAACCCAGGCGCGGGGTTTAGGCTTCTTTTTCCCCCTAGCAGAGGACGAGGCCAGTTCTCTTTTCTGGTCTGACTGGCTTGGAAATTCCCCGCGCCTGACCCCGCCCCGGAGAAATCCCCTGCCAGCGTTTATAGGGCGCCGCGGCGGCGCTGCGGAGCCCACAACAGTCCGAACCCGCCGTCCCGTCGGTCTGCGACACCGCGAGCAGCCAGCGCGCCGCGCAGCCCTTGGCCCGCGCACCTGGGGAGCAGAGCCCGAGCCCTCACCGCGCCATGTTCCAGCCCGCGGAGCCCGGCCAGGAGTGGGCCATGGAGGGCCCCCGGGACGCACTCAAGAAGGAGCGGCTGCTGGACGACCGCCACGACAGCGGCCTGGACTCCATGAAGGACGAGGAGTACGAGCAGATGGTGAAAGAGCTAAGGGAGATCCGCCTCGAGCCTCAGGAGGCGCCGCGCGGCGCAGGGTTGAGGTAGGGTTAACAGAGGAGGAGATGCATTAAGGCAAAGGAGTAAATAATATACAAACCTAAAAGATGTTTTGAAAGGTTGCCAGAAACCAGGTGAATAATTGATGATGCTGTGAAGCATCCAGATCTTTCCCATGAAATGGTAGTTATGCCAAAATGAATTGCAAGCTATCTCCCTCTCTTTTTTCCCTTACACACAACCCCCCACCCACCCACCCACACACACACCCCACCCCCCTTGCGGGTCCCCTCGGCCGGGGGCGGGGCTGCGTCGGGGACCCTAAGTCCCCGCTTGCATAAGGGGGGCGGGAGTTTCTGCCCCGCTGGCAGGCGCCAAGCGGCTGGGAGGGGAAGTACAGGGCGTTCCGGCCCGGCGAGAGGGCTGGGCGGTCTGGCCGGCGCCCGCCGCCTAAGTGAGGCGGGGTGGGGGGGGGCCCGGAAAGTCCCTGGGCGCCTGCCAGGAACACTCAGCTCATAATAACCTCGCGGAAAACACCGCGGCCTCGGCCTCCAGAAACCCCGACCTTGCGCAATCCCCCGCGGGCCGCGCCTCCCTGGGCCTCACGCAGCGCACTCACCAGCCCTGCGGGGTTTTCCCTCTCTTCCCCTCAGGTTCCTGCACTTGGCCATCATCCATGAAGAGAAGGTGCTGACCATGGAAGTGGTCCGCCAAGTGAAGGGAGACCTGGCGTTCCTCAACTTCCAGAACAACCTGCAGCAGGTGCGCTGCTCGCCCGGCCCCGTGCCTCTCTGACCCCGTGATAAAGCTGGATCTAGCTCAGCTCCTCCCAATGATTTCTAAATTAACAATTCCTGGTCATTATCTGACCTGACCTTTTACAGCTGAATCAGCCAACGTCCTAGAGAGGACAGAAAATTCCATTGATTTGGGGAGGCCTTTGTGAAGCCCACCTGGGGCCTCTGGTATTTTGCCTTTTGCCCCTTGTACCTCCCTGGGAGGAGCAGTACCTACCACCAGGATTTCTCTTGGGCTTCAAGGGAACACAGACGTAGGTTGGATCCATGGCTTATGCTTTCTATCCCCCTTCTGTCTGTAGACTCCTCTCCACTTGGCGGTGATCACCAACCAGCCAGAAATCGCCGAGGCACTTCTGGAAGCTGGCTGTGATCCTGAGCTCCGAGACTTTCGAGGAAATACCCCCTTACACCTCGCCTGTGAGCAAGGCTGCCTGGCCAGTGTGGGAGTCCTGACTCAGCCCCGCGGGACCCAGCACCTCCACTCTATCCTACAAGCCACCAACTACAATGGTACGTCTGGCTGCCCAGCCCATCAGAGGGCAGGTGACGTGGGGAAGGGAGAGGTGGGCCGACTTAAGGAGTCCAAGCAAGGTTTAAACTCTTGACATGTGGAAAGTTGAGAACACATGTATTCATAAAGGCCTATTTGATGCCTTACTAAAGTCCATCCAGAACCCAGATTCTGGGTTCTTCATATTCAGAAGAATTTGTCCCTTAAAAGAATAGGTGAAAGGTTCTGCTTGAGAAGTGAGGGTTGAAACAGGGGGTTATATTTTCTTACTTTTGCTCTTCTAGGTCACACGTGTCTGCATTTGGCCTCTATTCATGGCTACCTGGGCATCGTGGAGCTGTTGGTGTCCTTGGGTGCTGATGTCAACGCACAGGTGAGTGCCTCACGCCTTCAGATGGAGTGCATCAGGCTCCCAGCCCTCCTCCATATGATTCCGTGCTTTTGTTGCAAGCAGAAACCCCAAACTCAGCCATAAGCCTCTCAAATTCCTTTTGGTTTCAGGAGCCCTGCAACGGCCGAACTGCCCTCCATCTCGCGGTTGACCTGCAGAATCCCGACCTGGTGTCGCTCTTGTTGAAGTGTGGGGCCGACGTCAACAGGGTCACCTACCAGGGCTACTCCCCGTACCAGCTCACCTGGGGCCGCCCAAGCACCCGGATACAGCAGCAGCTGGGCCAGCTGACCCTAGAGAACCTTCAGATGCTGCCCGAGAGCGAGGACGAGGAGAGCTATGACACGGAGTCAGAGTTCACAGAGGACGAGGTGAGTCCTGATTAACTTGTTCGTGGCTCTGCAAAAAGAAGAGTGGCCATTCTCCCTCTACCTTCTCAGGCCCCTAGAGCTCCTCCTTATTCTGAGGGTCTCAACATAATGAGGCTCTCAAACTTGAGTGTCCCTAAGCAGTATCCCAAGAGTATGTCTTTTTTGGGGGTTTTTTTTTTTGCTCTTTCTGAAGGAGAGGATCCTTAAAGGAAAACTCCCTCAGTCCAGGAAGTTAATTTATATTCAGGTTAGAGAGGGAGTCTAAGAATACTTGAGCTATTTCCAGTAGCAGCCCTCACCATCATCCCAGTACCCTTGGCAAAGCTCTGGAAGTTTAACCTACCTTATTTTCTCTTTTTAGCTGCCCTATGATGACTGTGTGCTTGGAGGCCAGCGCCTGACGTTATGAGCTTCGCAAAGTGTCTGAAAGAACGTGGACTTTGTATATTTGTACAAAAAAAGAGTTTTATTTTTCTAAAAAAAAGAAAAAATGAAAAAAAAAAGGATATACTTATAACCACACTGCACACTGCCTGGCCCAGAACATTTTACTCTGGTGGATTAGCCCTCGTTTTGTTATTTTCATGAACTTTGGAAGAGGGGCAAGAAGGATCATTGGAATTCAGAGAAAACCTCTTTTTAATGGCACCTTTGGTGGAGTTTTGAGGAAAGGTTATTCAAAATTTGATGAAAGGACTATATTTTATTTATTGTGCTTTTCAGTTGAATCACCATGGATTCAATGGCTGGGCCCAGTTGTATGGAGTAACGTGTAACAGGTGTGTTGGTAAACCTGTCAGTGGGGTGGGGTTAAAAGTCACTACCTGTCAAGGTTTGTGTTACCCCCTGTAAATAGTGCACATAGTGTATTTTGTTGGTAATTATTTTGGTACTTTTAAGATGTATATTTATTAAACAGATTTTTACGAACAGCATTATCGTGATCACTTCCTCTGGGCTGCTGTCGGGCTCCTACACTGAGAGTCATTCGATCCCCAGATGGAGGCGGAGAGTTGTGTGGGAGAACTCACCGCAGGCAGCCACGGAACCCTTTTAGAGAGCAACTTCTCCCACTGTCTACACCAGCCTCCCAGCCAGGCTTTGCAGGCGGCCGGGACCCCAGTGCGTGGGCGGGAAGGCTGTTGCATGGTTATAGGAAACACCATTTTCAGGCCACTTGGTCTATAGCTGGAAGGTTCTTTATTGTCACCTGCTTTCATCTTCTTGATTTAAACTATTCCAGGACCTTCTTTTTTTTTTTTAACATCTTTATTGGGGTATAATTGCGTTACAATGGTGTGTTAGTTTCTGCTTTATAACAAAGTGAATCAGTTATACATATACATAGTTCCCATATTTTCATCTTCTTGATTTAAACTATTCCAGGACCTTCTTTTTTTTTTTTAACATCTTTATTGGGGTATAATTGCGTTACAATGGTGTGTTAGTTTCTGCTTTATAACAAAGTGAATCAGTTATACATATACATATGTTCCCATATCTCTTCCCTGTTGCGTCTCCCTCCCTCCCACCCTCCCTATTCCACCCCTCCAGGCGGTCACTTACGTCTGCTTTAGGAAATTATTTTGGCCAAGAGGAGTATGCTGAATTCACATTTTCTAGAGCTGGTGAAAGATCTCCCCTATGATACTGGAAGTTCCTGAAGACATGGGCTTAGGAATAGAACTGCACTGACAAGTGTTAGCAGGTGCCCACCTCTGAGCCTCTGTTTCCTCGTTTATAAGCTGGGCTGTCTGAAAAATTGCACGAGACTATCCACGTAAAAAGTATAGCGGAGTGCCAGGCCTACAGTACTAAAGAAAAGTACAAGCCGTTGCACAACATTCCATATTTCATATGGGAAGGAACCAGTCCAGAGAGAATGTCCTGTTCAGGGTCACCTTGCAGGACAGGCAGGTGGTTAAGTTAGCTGATACACTCTTGTCTTCAGGTGGTTAACAGCTTTTAAACGCCATCCACCTAAAAATCAGCCTCTTTTACCGTTATCAGCTGAAGTACAAAATTGATAATAAAGGCTGGAAGAGTCTTTTCATCAGCTCAGTCTAATTCTGAATGATTCTACAGAAGCAGATGATTTCACAAGACATCAGTAACTTGTGAAGTTTGGGTTTAGGTGCTTTCAAAGTTTTTATCCCTAAAATGCATCTCTTGCCTAGATAGAAAGAGGAGTACAGGGAAGTTTATGGCATCCTATAAAATGCAGAATGGGGTATCAGTACAACTCATGTACTTTGGCTTACGCCTAAGAAAACATTACCATTATGTTATCCTTTTCCTGACCCACAAATGATGTCAAAGTCAAGTGAATATGATGATCACCTTCCTCTCAGACCAAAAAGCCAATACCTCATGGGTCTTTCATATATAAAGAGTATCACTGTAGACTGAACTGTCTGGTCAAAGCCAGCTCTGTCCCCCTCCTGCAGCTCAGTCGTCTGGAGCTGAGCACTGTGGTGGGCCCCTACCAGTCTTCTCTCAGGTGCTCCAGGACCCTCACTAAAATTCTTTGTCCCTCTCAGAGCACCTGAACACAGGTGTTACATGATCTAATGCATGAATGTCAGATTCAGCTCTCCGCTGACACACAGAAGAGGTAAGAGGGGTAAGGGGAGGGATACCCATCTCCAATCTCAAAGAACAAAGGTTGGAAATTGACTCCCAGTTTTGGAATGATGCGTCTTAACACGTCTCAGTCAGACATGCCTCTTTTTCCCCCTGTGACGGTGTTGAAGGTACAAGTCACTCCAGTTCTTTGCCTGGAGGTTGGAGAAACAGGACAAAGGGATGTGACCCACTCTTCCTTGGCCTCCTTGGGGACCGGCTTTTGTGTAGAGGTGTCACCTTCCATGCTCACAGAGGGGCCTCTTCTGACCCATTTGGCCCCAGCCTCCCACCTTGCCAGGCTTCATTCATCTTTTCTGCTCTTTTGGACCCCAACCCCCAGGGTGGATTCCATAGTCTGCTTAAACCTGGAGGTAGCTGGCCCCAGTTACTTTACTCTCTGGATTGTCTTCCTGTTTATCCATCTCCTTTCTTTCTTTTCTTTTTTTTAAACCTACCCTCTTTCTTTCATGCGATTGGTTGGGTGGCTGGAGCCTGGAGTTCCCAAAAGGAAAATTTTAGAATTAAAACATTCTAACCCATGGAAAGTCTTCCTTAGACTTTCTTCCTTTCAAATTTCTAAGCAAATGCGAACTAAAGTTTTCAAAGAAAACAGCTCAGCAGACTGGGAGCCTTTTATGCACTTTGATTTTCTCCAAGAGGCTAAAGGTCCTGTCAGGACAGGTAGAAGTAAGGGAGTCTTGGGAAAGAGGGAAGTGTCACAAGGGGGAAATAAAAGTCACATCAGCAACTTCCTTGAATTTAGTTCCTTGATTGCTTCTGCCTGCCTCATCCTCAGGATAAATTTCCTTTATAGGTACGCGTACCAAAGTCATTTCCAGAAGGAGGGGTTTTTCTTTAAAGAGGGAATAAATTCCAGTCTGAGCAGTCTGAACACCTTGACGTGGGGCCTGAAGATGTCAAAACTGGATGCTTGGGGGCATTTGCACTGAAACTTCAATTGCTACTGGAAGTGATTAAGTGGTGACAAAACCGAGTCAGAGAGATGGGTTCTTCCTTCGCCCCCTTTCCTCCTGATTTTCATCAACTCGCCCTAGGTGTAGTTGAAATTTCATTTGGCAAGAAAGGTCAGAGTGGAACTGTAGTCAGAAACATACCCAAGAACCATTCCCCAACCTCTGGGACCTGGGCGAGAATATCCCAGGTCGTTTCCCCGTTTTAAGGGAGCATCACAGAAACTGAAGCTGGATATCCTGTGTGTGTTTCCCTCCTAGAGAAGTGGCTCTGTCTCATTCATTCAATCGCATGATGAAGCACTATTATTCTCCAGGCCCTGTGCCAGGTCCTAGAGACACAAAGAGTTACCAGTCATGGCCTCTGCCTCAAAGAGCTCCTTGCTCAGGTGGAAGAGACAAGCATTTAGAAGACAGGATGGGAAGCTGAAGCACAGGCGTGATGTGAGCGCAAATCAGAGACCCCCCAATGCAGAATGCAGCAGGGGAGCGGGGACCAAGAGATCACACCCTAGTTAGTTACTTTCCCACCAGACCAGAACTCTTATCTCATATCCCAAGTGACCCATGGCCCCCCTTCAACAAGTGACAAGAAACAAAACTGTGCTCAGAATAAAACTAACTTCTGGGCTGGGATTAAACCAAGCACCCACAGCATGCTCTGCTGTTCATTTTTGCATCTCTGTGTGCTCCTAGATTCCAGAGCTGAGCCTGAAAGCAATTGAATTAATGACAAATGATGTACATGCCTTAGTTCAGAGCTTCTCAAACTTAGCGTGCACTTGAATGTGCACTTGCATGGCCTGGAGATCTTGCTGAAAAGCAGGCTCTGATTCAGTTGGTCTGAGGCTAGCATGACACTCACATTCCTAACAAGATCTCAGACAAGGCCTGTGCTGCTGGCCTGGGGCCAACACTGAGGAGAATTTTTTTTTTTTTTTTTGCGGTACGTGGGCCTCTCACCGTTGTGGCCTCTCCCGCTGCGGAGCACAGGCTCCGGACACGCAGGCCCAGCGGCCACGGCTCACGGGCCCAGCCACTCCACGGCATGCGGGATCCTCCCGGACGGGGGCACGAACCCGTGTCCCCTGCATCAGCAGGTGGACTCCCAACCACTGTGCCACCAGGGAAGCCCATTTTGAATAGAATGTTATGTTGGCTACTTATTTAAGGCCAGCATTCTCTGCCATCCCCCCCGCACCGGTACCACTGACAAACCTGGACAAGAGTTTCTGCAGCCACTCCTGAGGATGATCCAGCATCAGGCAATGTGAGTCTTTTGAAAAGTAGGGCTGGATTCTGAGGAATGACGTTAAATAGGGCCCAGGCCAAAAAACGTGCCATCAAACCTGGTAAATGTTATAAGGAAAGCAGCTGACACAATGCAAGGCCAAAAGTGTTATCACCTGAGGTCCAAGAAAAGGACAAAAATCATGAAGGAAATGCAGTTGAAGGAAAATTCACTAAGAAGAAAAGCTGGGGGTTTTGTTGTTTGTTTGTTTTTACATCTTTATTGGAGTATAATTGCTTTACAATTGTGTGTTAGTTTCTGCTTTATAACAAAGTGAATCAGTTATACATATACATATGTTCCCATATCTCTTCCCTCTTACGTCTCCCTCCCTCCCACCCTCCCTATCCCACCCCACTAGGTGGTCACAAAGCACCGAGCTGATCTCCCTGTGCTATGCGGCTGCTTCCCACTAGCTATCTATTTTACGTTTGATAGTGTACATATGTCCATAGGTTATTCGTCCCTTTTATGGAGTTGCTGTGGCGTGTGGGAGGCGCCCTGACCAGGTCTCCACCTGGA